TACATCTTGTTAATCCTCCAAAAATTTTCAAAACTATCGGCATTTTGGTTATCCATTTTCTCTTGGGATGACTGTATTACCCAGGAGATACTCAAAACAATGGTCACAGTATGCAAAATGTGGGCTAATCAAGGCTAATTATTGGCAATTGAAAATGGTTACACTAATTAATTATCACATGCTAGAGTTTAATGACTTGTTAAGTAGAAGTATTCAAAAGTCAAGTTCAATGAAAATGTTTTGGTGAAACTAATGACACTATTGCCTCAAAAAAAGTAAAATTGAACCATAAAACCATTTTGTAATATTCATTTAATTATTTAACAACTTCTGGATTACTGTGATTTTTAATAACACATGAAATCTGACATTCAATAGGCAGCTTACAATTGTGTCTTTCACTGCCATCAATCATTAATTTCACTGTGCTATCCCAAGCAATGGACCCTGGTACACAGAAGCACAAAATCAATCAAAATCCACCAGTAACAAATGAAAAACCATAAACATTTCAACTTGTTGAAGTAAAAGTTCTATTTCGTGAGAGGTCCGCTAAGATGGTTGACAGCAGCGAAGAACAAAAACATTGGTTGGCTTTTGAAGGTCCCGACAGAGTTTGTGAGTTATTGAAAACCATAGTAATCTAACCCAGCTGTCACATTGTCAACTTACCTGGTCTAAATTGCTTCACCAGTATAAAAGCTTGCCTTGTTGTGTTGAATAGCAGTGCACACACGCTGTAAGAAGGAAACACACAGTCATCACGTTTTTTACACCATGAATTTTTCTTGCAAACATTGTTTAGGAACTGCTAAACCTATAAGTGTATAATATTATTCCAATAGTATTATTCTATTACAAGTAATAGTGTACATGGAAATGAAGATTTTGACTGGGTGACTCATAAGTTAAACTTTTCTATAATTTGCCAGTTTACATTTTATTAAACTTTCACATACCTATCATGAACTTTTAGATAGTCCCATTTTCTTTCCCGACCATTCTAATATTCAACAAAATAAAATAATTCAGTGAAATTGTCCAGATTTTCTAGACATTGTCCTCATTTTGACCTTAAGTCATTGAGAGAGTGTAGAAAGGAGTCAGAAAGAAGACCCAGTTTGGCTGTATTATTAGTATTTTTTATGTATATGTTGTAGTTGATTTTTATAGCAGGTAAATTTTATTTTTCTTTTGTTTCAATCATTAGCATACATTAACATACCCGAAAACAAAAGAAAAAGAAAAATTACCTGGGATGAAAAATTAACTACAACATACATATACATTCTTAAAATGTTTACATTTTTGGCCCTTAGTTGTCAGTGCTCTAGCCAGTAAAATGAGGCTTGCCTCAACTCTCCAACTGGTTTTAGGAGTTTCAGAATATTGCATATAATATGAACAGTTTATTAAAGAGGTAAACTTATACTATGTGATTGTTCATCAAAAGACATACTCATCATGTTCTTTGATATAGTTCCATTCTCTGGAAAGACCATTCTTTGTCAAAAATAGAAAGAAAGTCTTAATTAATGTTAAAACTGTCCTACAGATGTATTTAGTTGGAATCGTAAAAACAACACTACTAGTAAGTAATATTATGTAAGGTCTTTTCTACTCCTGACAGGATATTTGTAAGAAATTGGGATTGGTAATATATTAAATTTTGAACAGTGAAAGTCACAACCTTAGCTTTAAAGTATTTTTCTAAGCTTTGCCAAATTTCTTTAGCTCCTTCAGGGTCAAGGCTTTGTATGGCTTGGTATCAGACTGTGTCTTCTGTACTTCGTACGCAAATAATTTTGTGCTACAGTAAAGGGTCTGAGCCAGAATGTAGGCTTCAGAAACAATTGCCTGAGAGGGGAAGGGAAGGAGTACTCAATAAACATTTTGTCAGGGTGGTGTGAAATAGGTGTGTTGACCTTCCCCCGAAAAATAACAAACACCGACTACATCCCATCCACCCACACTTACAACCCATTACTCTACAAAAAGTTTGCTACTCTTCTGTATGATCTGTTCCATGAAAAAACCTTAGACAAGAATTTTTTTTTGTGAAGCAACTTCAGAATACTCTTTCACCTTATGAAATGCTTCAGGGCCATTTACTTAATAGCCACCTCCCCAACCCGACCCCACCCCATTTCATAAATGAGGAAGTTGAATTTCCCCCCCCCCCCCCCCCCACCCCACAACACAAACCGCGCACACCACCCCCCCAAAACAAAACTCCGCACAAAACACCAAAAAAACCCACAACGACAACACAACCGTAATAGAACGAATTCGA